TCTTTCATAGTTGAGAAAATAATTTTTCATCCAGATTTTGTTATCTGTGCTGGGAGCGGATACGAGGATCTTTCATAGTTGAGAAAATAATTTTTTGGAATGGAAGAAGATGATTCACGAGCGAAGGAGAGGGTAGAAGTGTAGGTTCACGATAGATGAGGAACGCGATGCAGGAGGCGTGCATTGTACTTGAGTGGTAGTGGTAAGTGTAGTTAATGTAGAGGAAATGCGTGTAGCTTCAGATGAATAAGAGTGACTGCTTGGCAAGTGTGCGAGATATTGGAACTAAATTCATGGACGACGAGAAGAGGAAAAAATATATGGGTTTCGTTTTTTGGTGCTTTTCTTTGTGACGAACACGTTCTCCGAATTGGTGCAGATTTTGATTTTCCGCGTTTGGGTCACGCAAAACTTATGAACAAAGATTATGCAGGCTGAATTCGTAACTGTCCCCTACTTGTGTTCCCTTTGATTTTCTTTAATACTTTACATCCATCACCCCCTGAAGGTTGTATATGCGTTTGCATTCCATTTGTATCCGTATTGCGTAGGTGTCGGATTATTTCAGGACTCCTCTCTCTGTTAACTCAGTGTTTCCATTCTTACACTGAAGGGATTTGCATTGAATTCGAATATTCATAATTATCAAGAGGAGCCCGCATATGCATGAAATTCAAAAAGTGAGTATACGTAAAAGTGAGCAGCAGTAAAAGTGAGTATAAGTAGAAGTATCTATAAGTTAAGTGAGTATCTAAAAGTAAAACTGATTCGGTTGAAGTCATAGTCAGTATCAATAAGTAAAAGGAAGTAGAAGTAAAAGTCGACATCTCTGGCCTCCAAGATGCAAATTGAAAAGATGGAGCTCCAGGTGTGGAAGCAATTACTTGCGATCGATCAACGGTGTAGTGCAATTGCTTCTACCCTCGTGGAGAGGAGAACTGCACTACAATCAGTTGGGGATGCGTCTCGCGTCCTGGAGGTTGATGATCCCTCCGCCACTCCTATTGGAGTGGTGGGGTGGTACCTCCAAGAGGAGGCGGATTCGCTTCAGGGGGAGTTGAGTAAACTCCAGATGGAGCGAAGCCGCCTTCTGAATCTTCTCGACCGCGTTCGCGTCGGCGAGGTATGTAAAGTGTTTAGGTTTTTGCTCAGCGCCCATTTTCGAAGATCAAAAAAGTTGTCTCACCGCGAAAGATCAAGCCTTCGCATTTTTGAAGGTCCTCAAAATTGAAGTCACCGCGAAAGATCAAACATCGCGAAGAACAAGGAGCACGGCCAAAAGAAAGGCCACCGAAGTAGATGAGTGAGGAAATCGAAAAAGATCAGAACGCAACAAGAACAAAAAACCGAGCGCAATTATTGGACAGGATCAGAGCGACGAGACCAGCGCGAGATCAGTAAGAAATCCATGCGCAACGCCAGCGAGATCCACGATCATTGAGGCGCCAGAGATCAAGTATTCTGAGAAGGGAGCAGCAAGACTCCGAAGATCTTGGCAGCGTTGTATCCCTTCAGCCCATGTGAACTCCCAAGATGAACCAGGCGCAGGCTTGAGCTTTGAAAACTAGGAAACAGGGAGAGCATAGAAAGGAACTTTGTTAGAACTTCATGAAACACGAAGACACTTAGGTAGGAAACTAGAAACATAGAACTGCGCACGACTATCAAAGAGAGCGGAGCGGAAAACCACACAAGGAGGCCACTCGTAAGAGCATCAGGGACGCACCCAGCGAAAAGCAGTGAATCCCCGGCAGGATTGAGAACATAGGGAAACCGTCGAGCAAACTGAGAGCAGCGACCGACTAACACCCTTGCAAGCAGGAAAATGGTGAAGCTGACGGGGATCGGCGCCAGTCGCGAAATTTCGAAGGCGATGTTATGGCTACAGCTAGTCCATTCTCGTAGAGGCTCCCAAGTGTGTGCTTGCGACTTGTAGCGCATATGCTTGCCGGGGTTCTGCGTCGGTGGATTAGGGGTAGGGGCGCTAATGATGAAAATGAATGCTCGCGAGGAGGAGCGCTGGAACAAGCTGCTGGACAAAATCAGCGAGGGCCGCGGGACCAAAGCAGACTTGAAGCGCTTACAGTTAAGGCATAAGCTACCCCACTCCTGCGGGATGCGTCTCGCGTCAATTGCCGGTGTCCGCGAAATTTTCCCAGTGGGTGGGTAGCTTATGCGCCTAAGGCAAGCAATTCAGGAACGGGGCAAAGAGTGCCAGAGGGAGAAAGAAAAATGCGAAGAGCAGAAGAAGAAACTCGCGCGCACGATTTCCGGGCTTCGCTGTTCGGGGTTCTCTGCAGTGTGCAAACCCCAAAAAAAGCGCAAACGGAACCCCACAGAGGAGGAGTCGGATTTGGAGTCTTTTTTCTCTGAATCTTGTCCCGAGTATGAGTTAGAGGGCGTGGATCCATTCCTGGAGACGATCGAAGAGGAGCACGCGGGGCAGGTGGATGAGAGTGCCCCCGGATGTTCGGCCGCCGCGTCGTCGTCGAAGTCCATGGGAATCGTGCCGGGATTGGTTCCGCATGATGTCGAGGAGCCGGGTGAAGCTGTCTCGAAAGAGGTTGTGGATGTCGAGGAGCCGGGTCAAGCCCTCCCGAAAGAAGGTCGGGATGTCGAGGAGCCGGGTCAAGCCCTCCCGAAAGAAGGTCGGGATGTCGAGGAGCCGGGTGAAGCCCTCCCGAAAGAAGGCCTGGATGTCGAGGAGCCGGGTGAAGCCCTCTCGAAAGAAGTTGTTGACGTCGAGGAGCCGGGTGAAGCCCTCTCGAAAGAAGTTGTTGATGTCGAGGAGCCGGGTGAAGCCCTCTCGATAGAGGTTGTGGATGTCGAGGAGCCGGGTGAAGCCCTCTCGATAGAGGTTGTGGATGTCGAGGAGCCGGGTGAAGCCCTCCCGAAAGAGGTTCTGGATGTCGAGGAGCCGGGTGAAGCTGTCTCGAAAGAAGTTGTGGATGTGGGTGGAAGCGAGTGGGAAGATGAAGAGGAGAGCGGAAGCGAGTCGGACGTAGACGAAGAGAGCCACAGTGGTGCAGGTGTAGAGTGCGAAGGATGAGCCGGCGAAGGAGGTGGAACGGCTGCCAAAGAGCTTGGGACAAGAAGAAACGCAAAGAAGTGTACAGAATCAATTGAACGAATAGGAAGGAGGAGGAGGGCCTTCCTACTGTTGGACGGATGTGCATCGGGGGACCATTCTGACACTGCCCAAGTATGAAGAAAAAACCATTTGAGATGTGCAGTCATGCTGGCCGCGTGTTCTTGTAGGGTCTGAATCTATTCCAAACGCGATCTATTGAGAAAAGGAAAAAGATCTTACCTAGAGAGCGAAGGAGATCCATTCCCTTGGGCTTGAAAGCGGCAAGATCGCCGGCCGCCTCTGGATTTTCCGCGAGGTCAGTCACTAGATTCTGCAAATGTTTGGCGCCTCCCGATCGTCATGCTTTCCATTCCAACACTGGCAGCAGGGTTTTTTACTCGTTTGCATTATCGCGCTTAGTTTTCGCTATTTACGAATTTTCCGGGCTGTGTTTGTTTTCTGTGTAGCAAACCCCCACGGACCAAGCTACTCGGGCTAACTGTCGTTCCTTAGTGTTTTCCCTTTTCTTAGCTTTTTGTATTTTCTGCAGGTCTCGGGCACATTTTGAAGCCCAGCAAGATGAGAATCGTCGAGGTGCGCTGCGCCGTGTGTGACGCGTTGCGGCGCGTGCAAGTTCCCTGGGGTGATGAAGCAGGAGAGCCGGACCCGCTGAGGAAGTGGGGGAGATTCAAATGCGGAGCGGCGAACCTGCTTTGTGCGGAGGGTCAGCGCAATTCCTACGATCGACTGAAGGCGCACCAGTTGAAACAGCTGCGAAACATCTACAACGTCAACACAGAGTACAGCGCCGCTTTTTTGGCGGTGTCCTTGAAGACGATGAAGCCGCGGGCGACTGAACGCCGCGACCCACCAAGGGACAAAAAGCAGCGTCGGGAAGAGCCCGGGCCAGCTGTAGCCCCTCCGGCTTCCCCGTCTGAGTTGGAGTTTCCGGGCACATTCTTCCCGGGGATGTCGACAAAAAAAGAGAGGGAGCTAATGAAGGAAGAGGAAGCAATCCGCGAGAAAGAACGGGAGAAGGAAGAGAAAAAAAGCAAGGAGAAGAGTGCGTCCCGTGAGGAAGTAAAGCGGACAACGTTCCTGAATATGGAGCCCGATTGGGATTGTCTTGGTTGTGAATTTGGGTGCATCGGTTGCGCGAGTCGTGCAACGAAGGAAAGCGCGGGGCCGACGGCCATTAGCACCCACCCAAAAGCGGCGGCGCGATCCCCGACGCGCAAGGGCGTCGCGGAGCAGAACCTCCGGAAAAAGATCGCGCGGCTTTCCGGATGTGAGGCAGCAGAAGATGGCCCTGACTCGGAGCCGGATGGCAATCCGTCGGACTATACGGGCGACCCCTCTGAAGAAAGCGAGGCCGAGTCGGTTATTGAATGGGAAGTCCAGCGAAAGCCTAGCAACAGGATGAGACGCAGGCAGAAGCAAGCTGAAGAGATTCGCGCCTTGCAGGCGGTTGTGAATGACTCCAAGAGCCGCGTGACGCGCGCGAATGTCTGGAGATCGTTGAAAAAAGGCGGGGCGCTGAGCGAAACCTGCGAAAAGTGGGACCCGAATGAAGACGCTCCGAAAATGAGGGCGTTCGTCTCAAAGTTGATGAAGGCGTACGAGGTCATCAACCGGGAGAAAGGTGGCGAGCCGAAAGACATGAGCGCCATCCCGCGGAAGAAGCCACGACACACAAGCAACGCTACTGGACGACTGAAAAAATTTGAGGGAGTTCTGCGCACGTGGGCTGACTGGAGAGTGTTGAAGCAGCGCCTTCGCAAGAAGTTAAACCTCCAGCCGGGCGACGGTCCATCACTTGCCGGGAAGGTCGACTTCGCTAATTGTGACGAGGTTGGTATATTGAAAGAATACGCTCCGCAGGGAGGCTACCGAACGGAATGGTTCGAGAATGATGCGGACAACTGGACCTTGCCCAGGGATAACGTGGACGACAAGGGTAGCGCATTAGTGTGGGCTTTCTCGAGTCCGGCCTTGCGAATCCCTCCGACGGTAGTTGTCTCGCGTGACTACGTGACAGGACCCTCGCAGAGGATAAAACAGCGCCGCAGGGTATGCGAGCGGAGCATTCGCAACTGGGGCAGGATGGTCGTGAACCCGGAGAACAGTCGCAAGGGGACGGTTACGCAGCAAGTTTTCTGGGATGATGTTCAGCGAATGGTCGAGCATAAGGTTCACGTTATTGGAAAGGAGAGGCCTCTCGTGCTTATCTTCGACGACTGTTCGGTCCATAAGTTCGCGAATTCTGAAATTTTAGAAATGGAAAGGAGTGGCGTTTACTTGTTGCGTTTATGGGGCGGCACAACCAGCTTGCTGCAGGTGATCGACTGCATGAATTTATGTCCTGGCAGCCTTCTACCGCTGTGCCTCTTCTCTAGTAGAGAAATGCGACAGCAGTAGCAGCTTCCTGCCTTTATACTTGATCGGCGGCGCAATCCAAGGCAAGGCGAGAGAATTCGCGGAGGGAGAAGACAGCGAGCAACGCTTGACCACTTTCGAAAACAAGCGAGTTTGGGAAGCTTTGCGGGATGATGAGACGCGGCGGCCCTGGCATCAGATGCGATACTTCGAGATTTGTGGGTTTTCTCTGGAGCATGATGTGCCGACCTCTGTACACATGGAGCTATGGCGATTTTTGGAGCTTACTCGGGAGATGTTTCCGGATCGTGTTCGAGAGTTGGAGCAGAGGTTTTTGCGCTTGTCTCAGCGAGGCGCGGACGAGTTCAAACTCCTGGAGCCTGATGAAATGCCAAAAAGAAACAGGAAGAAGATGGCGGAAGACAGTGGGCCCCCCGAGGAAGCAGCGGGCGGCCGCGAGTCTATGCGCGAGGAGATCCGTGAAGTCGGTGCGCGTTGCGTCAGCGGAACACGGAGAGGAGAAGACGCGCCAGACACGGCGCCAAAAAGGCGGAAGGAGTAG